TGTCTGTCCCCCCCAGCTATAAGAAGGGTGGAGTGGCCTCAGGCATGAAACACGTGGAGACGAACACCTACAACATCCAGCGCCTGCTGCATGTGAAGGGCAAGAAGAATGTGGTGGCAGGAGAGGTGAGTTACAGGATGTGAGAAGTCCCCAGACACCAACCTCTATGCAGAGATGCTGTTTGGGATCAAGAGCAGGCCAGAGATCCCCAGTCACAGCTGCCCACAAGCAGGGGACAGAGTTGGTGTGGGATGGTGCTGCCTTGCCTCAGGAACAGCTGCACCCCAAATGCCCCTCTTGGAGTAGGGAGGAGGAATATAGGCTGGACTCATCAGCACTGAGTGAGGGCAGGTGAGGGCTGCAGAGCCATGGGAACACAGGCATCCTGCTGCTTGACACCCACCCTTCCCAATCCCATCTTGCTGCAGGTGGAGATGAGCTGGAAAAGCTTCAACCGTGGGGACGTGTTCCTGCTGGACCTGGGCCATCTCATCATCCAGTGGAATGGCCCTGAGAGCAACCGAAATGAGAGGCTGAGGGTATGGCCAGGGGGTGTCAGGGTCCCTTCCTGCAGGAAGGTGGGGGGTCACCAGCCACTCCTTCCCTGATGCAAGTTTACCCCTTCTCTGTTGGGTGCAGGCAATGACCCTGGCCAAGGACATCCGGGACCGGGAACGTGGGGGCCGTGCCCAAGTGGGCATAGTGGACGGTGAGGACGAGGATGCCTCACCAGGGCTCATGAAGGTCCTCACACATGTGCTGGGTGAGAAGAGGGACATCCAGCCAGTCATCCCTGATGACAAAGTGGACCAGATGATCAAGTCCTCCCTCAAGCTCTACCAGTGAGTTATCAGGGGTGGGCTACCCACAGAGGACATTTTGCATGGACACAGCACCCATCGCTGCCCAGGGAGGCTGTGGCTATGTTCCTCAATTCCTGTCCCTGTGAACAGCCACCAAGAAGAGTCAAGGCCATAGCAGGGGTGGGGATAGGTCCTTTGGGTGTTGTTGAAGCAAGAGGAGTCCCTGGTGCCAACAGGGTTGGTAGCCAATAGCAAGATGCTCATGCAAGCATCACCTTTGGATACAGTGGCAATGTCCCTGGTGGCCCCATCACATTTGACACCCCTTTGTCCCTACTCATGGCCATGAGTAAGCTACATGGCAGGTCAAGCTACAAACAAGTTTGTCACCATGGCAGGGCAAGAGCATCCCTGGGCATCACTTGTGCCATGATCTGGGTGGGGAAGAGGATGGGGATGGGATTCCTCCACCTAATACTGCCACTCCAAAATGGGGATGGTGTTTTCCAACCCTGTTTCTAACCCCTCCTTCCTCTCTTTTTCTCCTGTCAGCGTCTCCAATGCCAGTGGGAACCTTGTCATACAGGAGGTGGCAATTCGACCCCTAACTCAGGACATGCTCCTGCATGAGGTGTGTCACCCATGGGATGCTTGGAGTTGCCCAATTTCCTTGGCAGCTTTAACCCTTCAAAAGTCAATTTTGGTGGGCTGCCCAAAGTCCTAATTTCTGCTGTTCTCCCTTCTCCAAGGACTGCTACATCCTTGATCAAGGAGGTCTCAAGATCTTTGTGTGGAAGGGCAAGAATGCCAACAAGGAGGAGAAGCAGCAGGCGATGAGCAGGGCACTGGTGGGTGTTGGGTTAGGGGTTGGTTATGGGATAGCCTGGCTGCTTCCTGGGGTGCCAGGAGCCTCATGCCCACATTGTGTCTGGATCCCCCCAGGGCTTCATCAAAGCCAAAAACTACCCGGACAGCACCAGCGTGGAGACAGAGAATGATGGGTCAGAATCAACCGTATTCAGGCAGCTTTTCCAAAAATGGACTGTCCCCAACCAGACCAGTGGGTTGGGCAAGACCCACACCGTGGGAAAAGTGGGTGAGTGTCCCCTTCCAACTTGGCAGGACTCTTTGCTTTGGGATGTGGTGGCTGTAGGGACCTCCCATGGCCTGAGGGAGTTGGCTCACCCTTCTGCCCTTCACTGCAGCCAAGGTGGAGCAGGTGAAGTTCGACGCTACCACACTGCATGCCAAGCCCCAGATGGCTGCCCAGCAGAAGATGGTGGATGATGGATCTGGGGAGGTGGAGGTACAGTGGTTGTGGATGAATGTGTGACCCTCTTGGGCACCTCTTTTGCTATACCAAGGGATGCTGTGGGGTCCAGGGTCTGCAGGGCAGGGGGATGCAACAACCCTGACAGCCGCATATCCCTGTCCCTGTCCCACCAGGTCTGGCGTGTAGAGAACAATGAGCTGGTGCCTGTAGAGAAGAAGTGGCTGGGACATTTCTACGGCGGGGACTGCTACCTGGTGCTCTATACCTATTCTGTTGGGCCCAAGGTGAACCGCATCATCTACCTCTGGCAGGTGAGACCTCTAGGTCATTGACCCATGGGTGGGGGATAGGGGTCTAACTCCCTGGACCGGGGGTCCTCTCATACTATGCATTATCCCATGGGAATAGCATGAGAGTTCCCTCTTTCCAGAAGGGAAAAGGGGGTTGTTGATGGGTGCTGAGCCCTGCTCTGCCCTGCCCAGGGCCGCCAAGCCAGCACAGATGAGCTTGCTGCCTCCGCCTACCAGACCGTCATCCTGGACCAGAAGTACAACAATGAGCCCGTGCAGATCCGTGTCACCATGGGCAAGGAGCCAGCCCACCTGATGGCCATCTTCAAGGGCAAGATGGTGGTGTATGCGGTGAGCATGGGGCTGGTGGGGAGGAGGCAGGAGAGTGAGCCTGTGGCACCAGTGGTGACCTCCTGTCCCTGCTTCCCAGGGTGGCACGTCACGGGAGGGCAACACAGAGCCCACACCCTCCACCCGCCTCTTCCACGTGCATGGCACCAATGAATACAACACCAAGGCCATCGAGGTGCCTGTCCGTGCCTCCTCCCTCAACTCCAATGACGTCTTTGTGCTCAGAACCCCCAGCTGCTGCTACCTTTGGTATGGTAAGGTGGGTACTGCTAGGGAGTAGCACAGACGCTGCTAACCCAGAGTGAAATGTCCCCACCTTCTCTTCTTCCTTCTTGACTGGGGCCAGTGATGGAACCGCTGTATTTGCTTGGTAGGGCTGCAGTGGGGATGAGCGTGAGATGGGCAAGACAGTGGCTGACATCATCTCTAAGTCGGAGAAGCCAGTGATTGCAGAGGGACAGGAGCCACCTGAGTTCTGGCTGGCCCTGGGGGGCAAGTCCCAGTATGCCAGCAGCAAGAGGTACCAGTCTTGTCCCTACCCACCCTCTGGAGTGAGACAGCCCACCCAAGCAGGGTGAGCCCCATTCCCACTACCATGTTTCCTCTGTCAGGCTGCAGGAGGAGAACCCCTCCGTGTCCCCACGACTCTTTGAGTGCTCCAACAAGACAGGCACCTTCTTGGCCACAGAGATCATAGACTTCACCCAGGATGACCTGGATGAAAATGACATTTACCTGCTAGATGCCTGGGACCAGGTGAGCTGGGGCAGGGAGGGCATGGAGTGACAGACACACCTTTGATCCCACAAGCTGATGTTTCCAGAGGTTGGAGGGCCTGCAGCGGCCAGAGGTGGTGGCATGGGAGGCTGGAAACCCCCATTAACCGTGGACCCATGATGTTTTTTTCCAGCCCTCTTACTCCAGGGAGTGCTGAGGATGGACTCCTGGTGTCCTTCCCTGTGGACAGCTCCTGTGTGCCTCTAACCATAGGTTGGGCATGGCCCCAGAGGGCCCCATCTCACCCCAGTGGTGGACATGGTAACCTCATTGCAGGTTTTCCTCTGGATTGGGCAAGGCGCCAATGAGTCAGAGAAGAAGGACGCAGCAGTGATGGCACAGGAGTACCTGCGGAGCCACCCCAGTGGGCGTGACCTTGACACCCCAATCATTGTGGTGAAGCAGGGTTATGAGCCCCCCACCTTCACTGGCTGGTTCCTGGCCTGGGACCCTCTCAACTGGGCTGTGAGTCATGGAGGGGGTTTGAAAGACCAGGAGGACCCTTTGCAGAAGGGGCTAGATGGGGGTCTGGCCCCCATCAGTGTCTCCGGGGTGTGGGCAGCAGTTTGCCTGACCCCTGCCTGTACCCAGAGGCTGAGTGCCTTTGTCCTCCTCCCAGGATAAGAAATCCTATGAGACGCTGAGAGCTGAGCTGGGTGATGACAGCAGCCTCGGGCAGCTCACCTCAGTAAGTGGCACGGGGAAAGGGGCAGCTGGGCTGGGGCATGCAAAGCTCCTCCATCCCCTTGGCAGGTGACACAAGGAGCTTTAAGGACAGATCCTCCAGTGAGAGGACACCTGGCCCCAACCTGGTGCCTCCATTCCTGGGCCAGCCCCTGATGTGACCTGCCCTCCCTACCCAGGCATTCACATCCAAGCAAGAGGTCTTCACCGCCTCAACCACCCTCCTCCCCACCAAACTGGAGACCTTCCCTGTGGATGTGCTGGTGAACACCTCAGCTGAGGATCTGCCACAGGGTGTGGATCCCAGCCGGAAGGAGGTGAGATAAGGCCATGGAGCTAGTGGGGGGAAAGAGGGGAAGCTCTCCCTGTGCTTTAGCTCAGTCTCCTCTCCTCTCCCCCAGGCTCATCTCTCCGACAAGGACTTCCAGGCTGTTTTTGGCATGAGCCGTCCCGCCTTCGGCAACCTGCCCTTGTGGAAACAACAGAAGCTCAAGAAGGACAAAGGACTCTTCTAGGGCATGAGCCTGGGCACAGGGACAACCCCAGCTCCTTACTTTTTATTAAATAAAATCAATCTGGAAAACAGGGCTGTGTCTCCCCCCCAGCCCCTGGGCTCAGCCCAGGTGTGGGGCTTATTTGTCAAAGAGATGGTGCACAAGGAGACACAGGTCTTGACCAGGCACTGGCACCATAAGGAAGGACCCTTGGCTCCTCTTCCCTGCGTCCTTCCTTTGCCCTCCCTGCACTCAGAGGTGATGCATAAGCTGGGCACTCCCGGGAAGCCAGGGCTCTACCATCCCATGCTGGTGCCTGCAGCTCCGGGCTAAAGGTCCAGTATACAGCCGGAGCCACTCCCTCCTTTATCACTCCAACAGCAGTATATAGCTGTGGTATGAAAGGTAAATGAGGGGACAGTGTGCACGTGGGGACAGACGCCAGGGATCACTTGTCCTTGCCCCAGGGGAGGAGGGCATCTCCCTCCTACTTGGGATCCACGGGGATCCAGAGAGGGACCAGGATGTCCCCTGCAGGGACACATCTCTGTCAGGGGGGCTAGGATTTGGGTGTGTCCAGAAGCAATGAACACACACAGGATGTTCCCGGGCAACTGAGCAAAGTCCCAATGCCAGACAGAAGGGAGAGGTGCAATGCCGTGTGGAAATAAGATTCCAAACCAAGAGAGGGTTAATAAAGAGGTTTTAATTTCACAAAAATCTATCTACACATCATTAAAAACGGGCAAGGGGGAACCCAAGAGCAAAAACTGTAAAGAATAGAGAGGAACAGGTCTGCTAAAACACAGAGAAAAGCACTGCTCCACATCAACAGTGTAAAGAACCAGAAAGTTGGGGTGCAGGCAGGAGCCGGCAGCAGCCACCCCGCAAGGCTGGAGTCTGGCAGCAGCCCACATGGACAGCTGCTGCCAGGGGTCCCGCACCCCTTCTTCTCTCTTTGGCGGGATAATTAGCTTCATTAAAAACAAAGCAGACGAGTTATTCCCAGCCCCACTCGTGCCGGGGTGATCCGCAGCAGGAAGCGCCGAGCTGGCAATCAGCCCTTCCTCGGATGCAGGACGGGAAGGAAGATGCATGGGCGATGGTTATCTGTGCTGCACCGAGCAGGAGGTGGAAGGCAATGCCGTGGACACAGGCGCTGGAGAGCCCTGCTCTCTCCTCCTGCCGGTCCCACGCTGCTGCTCCAGTCGGGAAACCAGTCCTTGCTTTGCAAAGGCTCTTTGTGCAGCCCTGCTGGCCAGGGCTCCCCTGGGACCTGCATACAAGCTCCAGTTCATTGACATGAAAGCTCTGCACCTCTTGGAGTAGGGGTGGAAATCAACAGCAAACCATTGCAGTCAGAAAACGAAAGAACAAGAGGAACAGCAGGCTGGGAGGTCCTTGAGTTTCTGTGCTGAATCACACTTGGAATAAACTAGGCTAATTTCATAAGCAGATAAATGTTTAACTGAGCAGGAGCCTGCACATGTTCAGGGACTGCAACTGAGCTTCACCTACTTATACCCCAGGACAGGTATCCCAGGTGGAAGAGCTGACCTTACTGAACTTGCTGCTGCAAGAGTGTGAGTAGTGGGAATGATACAGCTGGCGAGCAGCAGATCCCTTGCAGATTGCACACCTTTCTTCCTCCCTCCTGCTCTGGGACAGGGAGAAAGCTGGCTTCTGCAAGGAAGGGTTTCCACAGACATTCCTGCCAGGGTGAAGGTGCAACTGAGCTGCCATATGCCAAACAAAAAAGCTTAAATTCTTTAACAGATGTCTGCAAATTCTTAATGTCTAGAACCATAAGCAAGAACCTTTCATAAAACAAGGAACGCTGGTTTCAAGCATCAGCTTTTCCACCTTGATCCAAACAAAAACTGGTTTTAAACAAAAGTTACTGCACTGAAAAATCAGGCAATGATTGCTTTTATTATAAATTAACCGGAGTGCAGCGCCTTGCAGAAACAACCTTGCCACCCAAAAAAGCAGAGCTGACTTCTGATAGTACAGGAATACCAGTTATTTACAGCACAAGCATAGGATGTGCTTGGGGAAAACAGGTTTGCCCTCTGGACGGAGCAGTCCATCACATTCACGGGGCGATCAGTTCAAAGGACAACTCCCACATCTCCGCCTCTTCCCATCGCCCAGAATTCTACCAAAGTTAGTAGCAACAATAGAAAAGTATAATGCTTTGTAATAAATTAACATATACACCCCCTCAGGCTGCATCTCACAACATAAACACTCTGTCATGTCTACAACCAAACGTTTGCTCCTAGCTCAGAGACCAGAAAGAGGTGACCTTGACCAGCCCTCGTGGGCTCCTCCCACATGGGACAGGGAGGTCAGTCAGTCTCTCACCACACAGAGCCCCCAAAATGCTCGGGAGGGGACACGACTGCTGGCAGCTGTCGCTCACTGCTATGCACACAGGTGGGAAGAGGTCACCAAGGCAGCAGCATCCCCTGCCAGCCCACCAGGATCAACTCTAGTGTGGAAGTGCCCGTGAAACACGTCTGCTGACTCCTAAGTTGATGGTTTTGTCTGCTTTGCTTCAGCTGATTTATTCCTGAGAAACTCCTAACGATAGTTTAAAAAACTCAGAAACTATATCAACAGCAAAAAAGGTGATTTTTTGTTTATTTTTTCTTTAAAGAAGTCTTTTACCTCTAAAACTCAAGCTGCAAAAATTAGAACTAGAGGCCAAAACAAGAGCAACTACTCTGCTTACAGCAACAACTTCTCTGAAATGAGTAAATGCCAGTGAAAGGAAACATCTGACCCTGCTAAATTAGTGCAAAGGTGCTGAAAAAAATGAAGTCACTAGGCTTCTCCCCCCACTGCTGAAACAAGCAAGAAAAGGAGCATCGTGCCTCTAAACCCAATAGAAAGCAACACTTCTTCCTAACCACGTTCTGTCGATGCTGAGCAAGGGCTCCCAAAAGCTGTCCACCTGGTCTAGTTTCACAGTTTGAGCACTCTGCACTCCTCAGAAACAAGAACAGAGGCACAGCTGCACTACAAACCCTCCTACCACAGGATACGACAAGACCATGGTTCAATCACAGAGCAGTTCAAGTGCCAGATGCTGCCTTGAAGACCCTGTTCCCAGCATCCTTGTTCCCTGATGATCCAGGCGTTCAGAGGAAGGGTAACACTAG